GCATGTCTCTGTTTGCTTGCTGATGGGCGATCGCAGTTTCGATTTCGATGTGAAGATGTTCTATTATGAATTAAGCAGGTTTACGCACCTCATAGTGTGATCCGTGAAGATTCAGAGCATTCACTCTATTCACATGACTCCATCATGGAAAACGTAATGAAAAGCGAAACGATTCAAAATGTTCTGTTTCGTGGGACTTTTTGCCAATTAAAGGATTCCAATCAAGGATTCGATTCAAGGATTTGAGAAAATTTGCTTTATACCATTCAAACTAGCCAGCACCCGGTCAAGGACAGCACAAAAATACAAATGAATCAAAGTAATAATGCTGGGAAAGTGCGGAACTATCTCACATGATATTCAATTCGAAGAAAAACTATTTAAATATAATTTTAAAAATAAAATATTTAAGAGAGTACTTTTTTGTAAAGCATCCTTATAATTCTCATATAGCTAGATCATTCGCTCATCCTTCAAGTCGCATGAATAGACCCATAAACGGGTATTATCGCCTCTTGACACCACTAAACTACCTAGATACCTTGAATAGAGCTTCTAAAAATTAGCTTTCGTTCGTAGTAAATGCGATATAAATCAGGGAAATCATGCGGGGAAAGTGTCTCAGTTCATAATGACTCAATTATTTCACCGGGGATTCGTTGCTTTACTTCTCCCTCAATACTCAATGCATACTAAGAAGTCTAAGCACACGTAATAGGCAAGAAACCAGAAAACCTGACTTTTTAGGTTCTATCAAACTTTCCAGTTCGTCTACTGAAAAAGTGAAGTTTCAGCAATTGGGAATTGCAGAATACTCCGGAAAATGTAAGATCTTGAACGAACACGAGTGTCTCGAATGATTCCATATTGAATGCACGGTATTCTGCCGCACACCTCCAAGGCTTCGCATTAAAATCTGGTTTTCAAGTGACATAAAAATCAACCTTTCATGAATGAATTCAGAAGTACTGCTGTTCCCAATTTTAAATTTGATTTTGTGCATGAAGGTATGTCCAGGGGTCCCGGCAATATCTGGTAGGCAGAAAATTGTGTCTCAGTTAAGAAAATTTTGAGATCCGCTCTCTTATAGAATCCTTCAGGATTCATGCAAGAATTGATATGACGTATATAGTAAAACAGGAATAAGATTCCTGTTGGAATTAATACTAATCCGGCAAGACTTTCCCGTCAGTGGTGGATCCCAGTCTGCCCCTCCTTGCATTTTTTTTACGAGGGTGAAGTTGCATTGAGTGAAGAACAATTCTTTCACAAGCTCGTCCAATCTCGCATCTGATAATAATATTACTTATCTTCGCATCAGAAAGACTAAGGAAGGCGGGGATTTGATCCTTGCAAAGTAAAGTCAGAATAATAATAAATATTTTTGACCGACACGAGCAATCCAGCGATGCCTTCCGCCCCCATTCGCCCCAGTAGTACGGCAATTCGTTGCCGATTGCAACCCTCCAGATGAAAATGGCTTTTTTCCCGCTATGACCTTCCGGGCCAGATGGCGGAGAGTGGCAAACCTAAGAAGAAATCTTATTGCAAAAGAACTCCGAGAACGAGTGGGTGAAAGCGAGAAAACGAAGAGAGGAAAATGAAAAAAATAATCGTCAAGGGCAACTATAAAGATAATCACCGATGAACACGTCCATGTGTCACCAAACTTCCTCGTCTCAATCTCACTTGTTCCTTTCATTCCCTCGCTGCAGGAGGAGGGGGCAAAAAAAAGGGAGGGGGGAGCAGTGGGCGATAAAGGAGGGGCAGGGGTAGTGGAGAGGAATAAGAGAAGGAGCAGCAGATGAGATTAGCAAAGAAAAACAGTGAATTGCACCTGCAGTAGACTTCTTGAATCGAATCCTCTTTTTTTTCTTTATGAACAGCCTAGATTTCTTGAGACACTAAATTAAAAGCTCGCCAGGGACAAGTGATTTGCCTGCTCTCCATTATAAAATACTTTACTTGAACCTACATGCTTTACGAGACTTACAAAATCAACATAACTCCTTGGCGTTCGCGTTTCTCTCACTCGTGATCTCAAGATGGCGTGCACTTCAACAACTTTCTTATAATGCCTATTTATAGATTCGGGAAATAATTTTCTTTCGTAAACTCCGCAGAAACTCGCGTAAACGGAATTCCACAGTAGGCTCACTACACTCAGAGAAATCGGTAAATCGAGATGAAATACTTCTCTCAATTTTCGCGTTTCGATTTATTTTTCTCAAGAGAAAAAGACATCAACTGGATTTTCGATTTACAGTATATCTTTCACTTCCCAATCGTGCAGGGTCGCCTGAAAGGCGTTCGCAATACCAAAATGCGTCTATACCCGAGTCGGAAGAGTGTTTTGAGTGGCCTTGCACCGTCTAGACACATGTTAACCTCCGTATTCCACTTCATCGTGCCGAGGAAGCCCCCCCCCCCCGTCCCCCCCATGAACCCTCTGGGCAATGCATTGACAGCCGAGGGATTCACACGCAACCGCCTGAGTGCATGGCCTCATCAATCGGGCCGAGGAAGCTCCCCCCCCCCCCCCCCCCCCATGAACCCTCGGGGCAATGCATTGCCAGCCGAGGGATTCACACGCAACCGCCTGAGTGCATGGCCTCATCGCTACTTCACCTTCCCTCCGACCCGTGCGAGTAGCTCGTGCCTCTCGAAGGGATTCTCATGTAATCGCTTACTTCATTCTTCGAGTGCAGTTTCATACGGTGTTTGTATTCCGTTTGGTGGTGCGTTGCTGGCGCAACACGTATCGCCAATATGAGATCCGACTGTTAACTATATATAACAGTCCTTTAAGAATACATGGATTCCTATGGGAGAAAAAGAGCTCCTTCCCCAAAAGCCCCGTTGTCTCCCCCGAATGAGGTTCGTGTATTCGGGCATTAAGCTCAAAAGCCACTATATTCCCACAATAGGACATGCAAGGCAAATTTCGATGTGGCTGAAGTTCATCACGAAATGTTCAATACGGCAGATGCGCATAATATACCTGACCTATACACGTAGAATCAAATTAATGCATTTTCGTCAAGAAAAAAGTTGTCCTCCAAATGATGCGTTTTTATCGCATCCAACATTTGATGCGATAAAGAAGCATCACATGCAGGACTGATTTTTTCGCGAGAAAAATGCGTCGACCTGAGGCACTGAATGTTCTGTGTGTGAGAGGATCCAACTAGGATCCTAGAGGATCAATTCCAAGTAGGTGGCAGATATCGTGCAGCGTGGTTCTGTGGCAACTTTCGGAAATCGGTCGGCCACCTGTCGGTTTTGGGGACCTTATTTCCTGATCATATGTACTGGAAGCCATACAGGATTTACATGACTCCATAGGAAGAAACAAAACCGGAACTTCCGACTTCGAAATGTACAGGGTGGACGGGATAGTCCCGTCCTATCGCATATTTTTGACAAAATGAAATTTCGCGGTAAATTTATTGATTGTACGAATGTCATAAGTTACCTGCCTTGTCCCCAGTACACTAGGCAGGTAGTTGGGAGTTAACAGTTTACCTTCAGTTGACCTACAGCCATGGGGGAGCCCAAGGTGGTGCAACACGTATCGCCAATATGAGAACCGATTGGAAACTATATATATTTAACAGTCCTTTAAGAATACATGGATTCCTATGGGAGAAAAAGAGCTCCTTCGCTAAAAGCCCCGTTGTCTCCCTTGAATGAGGTTCGTGTATTCGGACTTTAAGCTCAAAAGTCACTATATTCCCACAATAGGACATGCAAGGCAAATTTCGATGTGGCTGAAGTTCATCACGAAACGTTCAATGCGGCAAAATATACCTGACCTACACACGCAGAATCAAATTAATGCATTTTCGTTGAGAAAAAAGTTGTCCTCCATGTGATGCGATAACCGCATCCGAAATTCGATGTGATAAAGACGCATCACATGCAGGACAGATTTTTTCGCGAGAAAAATGCATCGAACTGAGGCACTGAATTTTCTGTGTACAGCGTATGAAAAGAATCTCGTTCGACCCGTTAACTTCTATGGATGGGTGCTCAAAACCACCCATCGAGTGGGTGGCAGATGGATCGTGGAGTGGCAAAATAACTGAAACTTCTCGAGAAAGAGGCCGGAAGAGTTTATAATGATCCGATTTCGAGGTTCGCGTGAACCTATCAAGGCCCTATGCGTCGCATTTTCTCCTCCGAGTGTTGACGGTCTTACAAAATACTTATACAGTCCTCGATCTAATTGGACGAGGTCCACTCCGATCACGATAGTTACCTGACTCCAATGACGCACGAATTTGCGACGCTGGTTGTTCCCTGACTCTTTCGTTCAACTGGAGGAAATTGGTGCGGTGAGGTTAGTTCTGGCATGTGACAGAACCATATGAACATATTAAGTTGGGATTCGTGGGGAATTAAGGCGAAGCAAATGGACAAATCTGTGTTTTTGCATGGTCTAAAGCAAGAATCAGGGTCGAGTAGGGAGCATACGCAGACGCGGAAGATTGGTTGGAACAAAAGCGACCGAGAGCAGCGATTCTGTAGCCCTGACATCAAATGCATCTATAAAACACCCCGCCGCTTTTCAGGCGCTCTCATATTCGCCGCTTCCGGTTAGCAGAGCGCGTCAATTGACTGTAGTGACAATGATGCGATTGACCGTCTGGGGAGTATTCTGCATACAGGCCTTTGGCTCATTCGACCTTGAACACCCTTGAGGCCTGGAGATGAGAGCGTTTATTCAACGGAGATTCGAAATCCAAATTCACTTCGGACAGAAACGCTCGACAATGCCTCTTCATTTCTCCTTCCTATGAGCCACAAGTTTACTCATTCGATGTTCCATTACACCATTTATACCATTTATAAAACCCATGTTGTTGGGTGCTTTTCAGGCCTCTTATACTAGCAACTTCTTGCAAGTTTAATCAAAATTCGTTTGTAAAAGAGAGACCCGTTGATGGGCATTTCTATCAACAGGTCTATGCACACCCTTTTGAGGTAATTAACCTCCTATGAGGTAATTAACATAATTTGGTGTGCATGGCAAGCTCGTAACGATATCCATATTGACATCTCTCATATGCTAACGGAAAACGACTTTTCCCTCGAAAGCTAATGCATATCGAAGATTCCGTGCCTAGGGACTACTCACTTTACCCAGGTCCGTTATATCCAGGGACCTTTCCATTATGCAGGGACTTGTCGGGGACGGAGATATCCCAACTGCCGACGGAGGGCCTGACGACACTGAAGCACCTGACCCTGCAGAACGTGCCAAACCTGTGGGTCTTCCCCTCTCCCTATTCCCTGCAGGAGCTCGTCAAGGCCAGGCTCACCTATCCGTATCATTGCTGCGTCTTCCAGTTCCCGGAGGTCCACGACCCTGTTCTCTATGCCGAGACGGAAAAGGTCTGGTGTTTATTAGTTCTCGTTTGTGCTGAAACTTTTTCTTCAGCTTGTTCAACAATGGGACGGGGAGTTCCGTTTTTATCATTTGAGAGAGGGGGAATCAGGAACAGGGAGCGGAATTTTATGCGGTAAGAATTACTCAAAACAAAACACACATTATTATGCTTTTATTTAATCGCATCAATCGCTTCCTTTCCAACTAATGCATGCTCCTACGAGACAGCAGGAAATTTTTTAAATATTCCTCTTCATATTCATAAGCACCATAGGACCAACGGACCAAGGTGGCTTCAACGTTAATGGGAACTCTCTCTCCTCGTTTCCCAAAGCCCATGACTCCTGCATTTTCAGTAACGTCGTCTGAGAGCATAAGTCGGATTTAATTGAGTCTGACTGCGCGTTATGAAGTTCTTGGCTCGGAAAAGTCCTCACTACTTATGTATGGTGCATGGGCCGATCGAATGTTAGCCAATAAATCCATCCGTTTGGTAAGGAAATGAGAGCTTTTTCCATCAGAAGGGGAAAATGGGTTGTTGTGGTGATAGGATTTTTCCCCTGATAGCATGATGATTCGTTTTTCACCCCTTCTACAGGAGGACCGGTTACAGTTTACTTATTTTCCTCCATAAGGAGGAAAAATGAGAAACAGAGGAACTCAGAGAGAACATCATCGAGGGATGATGTTCTCTCTGAGATGACATCCGGTATAAGAGGAGGATTCCATTCTGATACATTCCATCTTTAAGTAGGCTCTAGGAGACAGGATCAGACATGAACAGAAGAGACAAGTGCACCCTTGGAAGCATCTGAGAGGGGTTTTAGCCCCATCTAGGATGGTCAGAGAGGTTGAACGACATCCGATTGGACCATGGAGAAATCCCCCGGACCTTTCTCAATCTCTCTGTTTGAAGTACATCCGCCGTGTTAGCGCCGAGCATCTTCAGATGTGGGGTAACGAGGCGTTCAGATCCCCTTGTTCCCTCGTTCGCCCCTCTGATAGAAAGGAAACGGGCCGTGATTGATAATGAACCTAAAAGATGCCGCACCAAATTGGTGCAATGAGGAAAATTTTCAAGGGCAGCGTATTTTCGAGTCCACGTGCCTTCGCGAAAAGACATTTATCATTAAAAGAAGTTCGCGACTTAACGTATCAGCATTAACTTAAAATGCGATGTAACAACATGTCTCTGCATTCTTCTCCTGACCTAGTTGTACGATAAGTTTGAGACCAGTCTGCATCTAGTCTGCTCGGTCATAAGGCCTACGGACAAGGCCAGGTCATGCACCTGTCGATCGTCTTGCCGTAGTCGGGCGAGTCCGACCGACTTCCGAATCACACGAGTAGGTTCAAGGAAAACGTATGAACGTTCACGAGGTCATCATGACGGTTGCCGTAATGAGGTGTTATCTCTCCCTTTCAGAGTCACGCGAGATTAGAGGTATATGTCTCCATAGTTGCAAGTGTTAGAAGCCCACATTCCCTTATCTATTTTTCTATTTTATCCAAAATGCCTTCGAAGTGATTTGATTCTCGTGACAGTTAGACAATGTCACAGATTATTCTTAGCCATTCTCGCATTCGTTCCTGCATGGCATGCAATTCACGGACTTTATTTAAATAGAGGAGTCCTATCGGTTACAGAAGCTTCAGGAGCAATGTCGCGAGCACCAAGAACAACAGCACCGCCACCTGCTGTCCCTGGACGAGAGCCAGGACGGCGGCACCTGGCACAACAAGTCCTTCAACCCGGTCGGCGGATGGGGCTGCGAAAACGACTCGCGATTCATCCCCAAAGACGTGAACTGCGAACCGAGGCCGGACGCGTTCAACCCCTGCGAGGACATCCTGGGCCACCCGAGCCTGCGGATCACGGCCTGGATCGTCATCCCAACCGCCCTCCTTGGGAACCTGGCCGTCCTCGTCGTGATCCTCTGCAACCGGCGGAATATGACCGTCGGGAAATTCCTCATGTGCAACCTGGCCTGCGCGGACCTCGGCCTGGGACTCTACCTCCTGGCCGTGGCCGTCGTCGACCTTCGGACGATGGGCTTTTACTTCAACTACGCCATTCCCTGGCAACAGGGTTCGTCGTGCCTTCTTCGTTCTTTTCGCGCTGTCACTTAACTTCTTTCGACTATTCACGACGATATAGTATAGGGTTCAAAAGTTGTACCATCGTTGCCATTTGATTTACTTTCAGAATATTTATCAAATATATCAAAGAGTTTAGTCAGTATTTACACCACTTTACGTGGTGTAATTTCGAGAATTTTTCATCCCTTAAGGTCGTACGGTAAGTGAGACAAATTCCAGCCCAGCCATAAAGTCTGCCCCCAATATCGCATAATTAAGCATAAAAAGAATTCCTATCTGCCATTTAAAATCAAATTACACCAATGTCCGGTCTCAAAACGTGAATGGACAGGACGTGCATTTTCCTCTCAAATGGAATAGGTCCTAAATCCATGAAGTTCATAACGTAGACGAGGGGCTGATTAAGGTGAAAAAACATAAGGGAGTCGAAGTTCATTTCTCTTACTCATCATGTTTGCAAAACCCAAGGCTTCCCTATGTCTGAATGAAACGTTATTCTTGGATTATGCTCGCCAATCCATGATCTGCAGCCACTGGCTCCAGATTCTCAGGAGCAAACAGAACTAAGCGAGTTGCATTTTATGTAGCGTTTTAAATGTCGATGAAAACTTCTCCATCGACTGCAATGCATACGAATTTCAGGGCTGGACACGGTGTCATCTCTTTCGTCGGCCCTTTCAGAGCCGAATCGTGCAACAGGCTCTCCGAGTCAAATCGGCACCAGGTCGACCGAAACTATTGTCAAGGAAAACATGCCAATTAAAATTCTCATCTAGACCCTAAATTCTAGACGCCTCTGAGGAACGCTGCACCTTCACTGATATCGGCTCAAAACCGTGACCTCAATTGAAAGTTCTAATTTCACTACATAAAAAGTTAAGTTCCAGTGGCCATGCTTCAGCCCCAGATATAGGACGACATGCACTAGATCCGTGAAATTACTTTGAAAACACATACGGATGCGACTCTCCCATTCATGTTGAACTCGCGTTAATACATCTGGTGTTATGCGTTATGTTAAAGTTGCACTTTTTTTTTTAAGTGTTAATTTTCCCTATGTATGGAGACTTTTGGACCACCCTGTATTGTTCAGTAGCGTAACGTTCGTTAGTAATAAAGAGTTCATTGAGTGGGTTTAAAGCGGGGAGGGACGAGTGTAAAGGGCCCTCACAAAGGTGGTCCAGGGCTCCACAATTCCTTTCGCTGGCCCTGCCATGAAATAGAATTTATTCAAATTCATAGCAGGCTTCTATGAGAATCCATTCAGATGATGTATAAGAAGTTAAAGGTATGACTCCGCTGGAAAGGAACTTGCTTGAAATGCAATGACGTTCATCGCGACCCTTTGGAATTCAAAGCAGAGAAACATCCACGATTGAGATGGAGTCAACTTTGCTGGAAGTCGCTTTGCTTGAAGAATCGACAATCATTTGCACTCCCATTTCCTCTCTGGGTGTCTATCGAATGAAACGGAGGGAATTTGCATGAGAATTTGCATATAAAGACGATTTTCTCGGGTCTGACAGGGCTGGGCTGCGAGATCGCTGGCTTCGTGACGGTGTTCTCGTGCGAGCTGAGCATCGTGACGCTCTCGGTGTTGACCGGGGAGCGGTGGTACGCTATCACGCATGCCATCCGAGTGAGCAAGAGGCTCCGTCTCCCCGCAGCGGCCAAGGTCATGGCTGGGGGGTGGCTCTTCGCGATCGCCGTCGCTGCTCTGCCGCTCTTCGGCGTCTCCGACTACTCCAAGACGAGGTGAGGGAATGAGACGGCGCGGTTTGTTGCTTGTGATGCCGTTCGAGATGGGAGAGTTTAGTAAGCCTAGGATTGTGCACGAGTAAGGTACACAATCGAAATACTGCTTTTAATTTGAATTGATGGCTTTATTAAAAGCCATATTTACAAAGCAAGTCTAGATTAAATTCCACTCTAATTTCAAACTGAAATGAAGCTTGAAACTAATTTCACATGTAGGATTAAAATGTAAAAAATAAGTAGATATGAAGTAAAAAGAAGTCGAGAACACGGCAAATCTTGCCACAAGGTCATTCTCGTGTTCGAGTCTGTCAAACCGCAGGCTCAATGAAGAGATCCGTGGATGACGAAATTCGTGACGACCGGTGGCTGTTAGCAGCCAGATGTTAAGTCGCTCGATGAACGCAAAGATGGCGGGGAATGCGTCGGTTGCCAATCATGGCAAGGTTCGTAAGACATGGAGGGAAGATTCATTTCAAAGAGGCCAACGATCCACCTATCGTAGTTGGAATGAGAAATTAAGAGAAGCGCCACAAGGGGATACAAAGTATTGCATATGCATTTATTTAATGAAAAAGGAATTGGTTTAATCAGAATATTTTGGTCTTTGAGCTTTCAAATTATAGAAGAGGAGATTGAAATTATTAACGACGGTAATTCTCAGCAAGGTACAGTCGGTGCTCGTTATGACGATGCCCGCTTTAACAAAAAGCACCATTTAACGAAAATGTTTTCAGCATTTGGTTGGCCCTAGCATCTCCCTGTACAAATTATAAACCGTTGTAACGAATTACGATGCTACGAAATATACCTTGCAATTAAGTAATTTTCTCGTACCGATCGCCAAAAACAAGTTTTTATAAAGAAATCGCAAAATTGTTGTCAGTTCTGTCCCATAACAAGCCGATAATGGAGCGGGAACATGGTTTTAATTGTAGGGGTGTACGCATTACCTTCACCATGCGCAGACGCACATTCGATTGGTCATGCCCATACCCAAAGCAATATTCTACAGTACACACTAGTTTGTTTCTACTTCATCTTCGTATGAAGTGAAAACTTAATTACTTTTTTCAAAATTCCTTTATAACGTTTTAACGAAATACGTTATTACGAAGGAGAAAGACCCCCCTTAAATTTCGTGAATGCGTTGACTGTATCTCCAATTACTAGCATGATAAATGAGGCTGGGAAAGGGATGAGCTGCACAATGATGCTCTTCCAGAGGGCTTCATTAACAAAGAAATTGCACTGTTTTTCATTCCTACTCCGTAATTAACATGTGGACGAAGAAATACACCATTCGAGCTTTATTTTGTAACAAGCCACAGTAGCGAAGACGTTGAACGGACATGAACCATTGAATCGAAGGAAAAGGATATGAACCTTCGAATCGAAGGGAAAAGGACATGAATGGAAGTCTACTTCCTTACACGGCGCCCTTCCAGCCGACGGATGTACAGGCGAAGAGGGAAACGAAAAGTTCCATGAAGGATGACGCATGGAATGTGCGGGGGGTCAGGCGAAGAATGACGCACGGCATGTGTGAGGTCAGTTGAAGGAGAGCGGGATGACGTGTGTCGCTGCATCCAGGACGGGGGAAAGGATGAAGACGTAGAATGAGAAGAAAATCGTGATGATGAAGGGAAAGAACACCGCGTCTGAGGATCCGGTTAAGGATCCAAAATCGGCATCGGTAAACGGCATTAATCGTGCGTGGGAATGGAAAGGGAAAAATGGTGGAGAATCCATGAATACTTCAGTGTCATGATTTCTGATATGCAAGATTCACGTTTTTGCGGATTGGATCATCATTCAGGTTTCCCAATCATATCGTTGAGGTGCACAAAAAGGAGTTACGAAGGTCACCCCAAAAAATTCCTTTGATTTCACCTACCGCAAACTACTGGTGGCACATGTTTGAAAATGCACATGCAGACATTTCAACTGCCCTCCTCTTCCTCGTAGAGTTTAATTATTCCTACCAGAAAACTCCACCACTGTGGCGATTCAAAGCGATGGAGTAATGCCCATCACAATCAGAGAGCAGCGTTGAATTCCTCACAAGTGAAGGGGTACCACCAATAGACATTCTTCATCGTTTTATGAAGTCCGCGCGACTCAACCTGCGACGCGCAGTATTCACATTGACATATACGTCACCATAAAATAATCTTCATGAAGCGATAAATGTCTGTCGGTGGTACTCCTTCACATGTAAGGAATTCAACGCTGCTCAGTACTTGTGACGGACATCACACTCCCTCGCTTTGAATCTCCACAGTGGTGGAGGAACAGGTAGGAATCATTAAACTTTACGAGTGGAAAGGATCTGAAAGCAGCCACTCCTTGTTCGCCGCTTTATGCAATGCGTGGACATCATGATCTACACTTCTCGTGCCTTTACCGGAATGAAAACTTTCGCTGCGTGCGTCTATGAGGTGTTCAATTAGCCGTAAGAACACTAGTTGAGTCGGACGAGATTAGTATAGTAAATAGCAAAGTCATTTCAATGCATGCTCTGGGGAAAATCCCTACCCGGAGTGTCCGGTTTACATAACAACATATGTTAACATAGCTTCCAAATGAATAATAAATGAATGAAAGATAAATATACTACGTATATAAACTGAGCGGTGGAGGCAAGGAAAGGAGAAAGCGTTCGCCCGAACAGATTCCAACCTCCAAGGCTGTCGGGCCTTTCTTGGCTCCAGTCTCACTCATTCCCTACGACCCTGTCTTATTCTCCTTGCTAGAACACGAATTCAATCAGAGAGCCACGTATAGCTCTGCCTCGAATAGGGTGAAGGATATGGCGATTTTCTCTTTTCCAGCCAGGGATGTCCCATCTCTGTTTTTTTTTTAATGGTATATTATTGTAGTTATTTATGCCATATCTCACATGAGCTGAAAAGCAGTGATGGGGATACAGCATTGGATTAGGATGTGCATGGATTTGGCAGTGGGCACATTGAACAATTTGAATAAAAACAATGTGAATGCTAATGTATGAGGCAGACACACTGGTTTATCAACACAATCACTAAATTGCTTCTTGAGGAAAAACTATCACGTGCAGGGTTTAAGTGAAAATAATTAATCGATTATATTTTTACATACATAGTAGAAACTTGAGATTATTCCAAGAGAGGTTAAAATATCCCAGTAAATTTCCTTTCGCACGAAAATAAAAATTTACTGGTGCATTATTTCCGAGGATGTTTTTCTGGAGGTGAAAATATCCCGCGACACCGGAAAGGTAAATAGTTCCCAAAGTAGAAAACGCGGACTAGGTCAATCATAATGGGAATTACGAGAAAATGACAAAAAGGGCGGACAAGTCGGAATGGAAGCGATATTATCTCTGAATACACAATGATTGGATATCTGGCCGCTTTTTTTTCCTTGCCCTGTAACAGTTACATCTCTATCTTTTCTAATCTGGAGGACGACCGCCTGTCACCAACACAAGCCTATAGGAACGTACGAATGGGACTGACACAAATGATCAAAGCGCAAGATCGGGAGATCGGGGGAAAAAAAATTTCTAAAATAAAATCTCTTCAGATACACTCTAACAAACTCAAGTTTTCCTCCCTTTGTGCTCATTTTTCTCTTATTTTTTTACTATTGAAGAGAACTTTGGAGTAACTTTTCTTTCTCTCTCCTCTCAGAGTAAATAGAGGGGGAAACTGGGGTTAGCGCTCGCTAGTTTTCAATAGTGAAGAGAATTTCGGACATCGTGCACACCGTAAAACGCTGAAGCGAACCCTCCCAGTCTTCTTACGCGTTGGTTGAAAAAAAAAAACAGAAGAAAGAAAAGGATACCGAAGGCAAAGATTTCAATTGGGGTGAGATCGATGATGGCAAAGGTCAGATGAAACTTGAAAAGTAAGATGGCGATCCACTTCCTCCACTTTCCCAATTCTGCGATTCCCATTATGTCGCACTTTATCCCAAGGCAATTTTCCAAATATTTTTTTTTAGGAAGTTTTATTCCAGGGCAATATGCCAGAACAATTTTCAGAAGTCCGTTGCTCACACGAAGGGAATCGAACAGAGACTATCCCTTTCTCCGGTTTCTCTTCGTTGCATCATATCGGGGAAATTGTCTTCTGTGCCAAATATCTGCTGATTCAGTTGGGCAATAGCTAAAATTGCTTCATCTCGCTTTTCAGTTCCCTGTTGCTTCCGAAACACGAAAAAACATGTTCTATGCCGACAGGAACAGGAAGTTCCTGTTTTCTTTCAACCATCTTTTAAAATTGGATTTTTCCTCCATTCTGTCGCCAGCGGTGTCCATAATGACAACGAATATTGCACAGTTTGCGATGAGTGAGCGGAAAAATAATCTCGAACTCATGATGTCACACCATCCTCCAATGACACAAGAGGGCATTTATTCGAAGGCGTGCGTTTCAACGACATGGGAGAGGAAGAGAAAGCGAAAATCCTATTAAGCGCAGCAGCAATGACCCAACATCCCAATATGCCCCCTCGTCCCCTTCGCCCCCCTCGCCCCCCTCCCACATTTCTTAAATTCGTTTTACCCGGCTGGTTTCTTTCCCGGCGATGGTAACATCGAAGCGATCGATGGAAAATAAAACCCGGAGGCCTTTCTTTACCAGTTCTAGGGAGAAAGGTCTCTAACGTCAACATGGGTTAATGAAAGTGTAGATGAAAAGATAGCTAAGCTCTTACTCTTTGTGCAACTGTATCATATATATTTTTAAATGAAGAGTTATCGTGGAAAAATTATTTCATCGTATTTTATATAACAACGAATTCAAAGAGGACATTCATAAATTATGCAATAAAGATAAATAATGCAGGATAAAGCATATTAATACTAAAAAAAAACAACAAAATCAATATCTTGATTAAATTTGTGTTAAAAAGCCACGTGCAATTCGGGAATTCCTAAGGATTTCGAAAGTCAAGCTCCAACATTTTCCTGGAAACTACGATTTCCTGTTTAGACGAGAGTGAAGCTAACTCTTCAAC